AACCCGACTTGCTGAACCCTGAATTCCTGAACCCTAAATTCCTAAACCCTAAATTCCTGAACCCTAAATTCCTGAACCCTAAACCGTAATTCCTAAGCCCAAAACCCTCAATTCCTAAACCCTAACTTCCTAAGCCCTAGTTCCTAAGCCCTAACCAGCAACCCAGTATCGGGGCGCTTCCGACCATCTGGATCTGGGCCTGGATTCCTGGCAGGCGAGCTTTGGGTTGAGGACTCTGTAATTGGGGAGTTAGGGGTCAGGGCTAAGGGTTGAGGGTGTAATGTTTAGGGTTTAGGGTTTAGGGTTTAATGTTTAGGGTTTAGGGTTTTGGGTTAAGGGCTTAGAGTTTAGGGCTTGAATTAGTGAGTTTACTTACAGCCCTTGTGGCCTGGTTATAGCCTAAGCTATCCTACTCAGTCACCCTGACCCTGCAGGTAGATGAGGACTGTGTAGGGTCGTATACTCGCGTGGAAGGATCTCGGACATGTTGTTTTCTTGAAGATCAAACTGGCTACATGGCGTTTCGAACAAGAACGGCCCTACTACGATGACTATTACTATTACTGAAACTGTACCCCAATTTCAACGACTTCTTCCGGAAAGACCTTCGGTAACCCTGACGCTGTCATGCTCGGAAACCCTCCAGATGGGGCCGACCTCCTTCGCCAAATTGCAACAGAATTCAGGAACACTAATGTAGACCCCTGATTAATAAATGCCTCCTTTTCAGGACCTTAATATTAGCATCCCTATGAAAATCCCTATTAAGGGGAGGGAGTTTATTAATCAGGGATTTACATTATCCCTGATGCAGCTGCTCCTTACAACAGATTTTACCAAAGAGAATCGGTACATCTCAGGAACGAAATTGTTTTTTTTGGTCGGGAGGTGAGAAGTTTGAGTAGCGCAGGGGAGGTGACTGACGCCTCAATAAGACATAGCCAAAACCCTAAACCCTGAATCCTTAACCAGTTCCCCACCTGTTTCTGGATCCTGCACCAGCTCCCCCGCTTCATTGCCTGTCAGAGCCCCATGCACCACATAAAGCTTGCCATCCATCCGCCCGACGTAGACGGCGCCATCCCCCGTGATTGCAGGAGAGCTCCTCAGCTCCGAAAGGGTGTAGTGTTTAGGGTTTTAGGGCTTAAAATATTCTGAAAACGCTTTTTTTTAACTACTTACCAGTATTATGATCCCCATTAGGGGGTTGCAGGGGCATGTAGGATTTAGGGTTTATGGCTGAGGGAATAGAGAAAGAAATGGAGGAGAAATTGGAGAATTAGACGAAAACTGACTTTACACAGATGCTGTAAGGCAAAACTACAAATATCATGGTCCTAGCTTCTTTTTAGGTTTATGATTTAGAGTGCCTAGAATAGGGCTGAAAGGAATTCTGGTTGGTACTTAATTAAGCCCAAAAGGCAAGCAAAAGTGCGCGACTACTATGTTGTCTAGGGCCTAGGGTTTACTTAGTGTTTATGGTTTTGGGTTTGGGTTTATGGTGCTAGGTGTACAGTTCAGGGGGCAAACAAAAACATAATCCGGCATGCCGTGGGCCACTTTCTTCCGCCCCTATGAGGAAACGGAATGAAAGGACCCGCAACCCTAAACCCTAAACCTAAACAGTCAACCGTAACCGCCTCAAACCCCAAGCCCTGCCCTATTTTAAAGCCTGAACACCACACACCAAACAGCAACTCCTACCATGCAATACTCTAAAAAAACCCTAAACCCTCCTAAGCCCTGAACCCTAAACCCTAAACCTTGGGTGCTGCCCTCACCCAGTAACAGTCTATACTAGGGGTCATATTAAAGGCTATATGTAACTATATTATAAATATTAACCAACTGTTACTGGATGGGGGCAGTACCCAACCTAAACCCTAAGCCCTAAACCCGCAAGACCCAGGCTCCAGTGTGCGGGAAAGCAGATTTGGCGAATCAGCTGCGGCGAGCTTCCGTGAGTCAGGAGGTGGAGTTCTCTCTCAGCGTCTCCCGCCGCCAGTAAGGACCTGTATGGTGGCAGGGATGTATTTGAGCTGTAGTCTAAACTCCTAGTATACCCTTTAATAAGCCCTATAATCGGAACCCTCTATAGCCCTGTAGGAACCCTGTATAGTCCCCTATATACCCCCCTTGAAGGAGTTTAGACTGTAGCTCATTTAGGGTCTTGAAGGCTTTAAGATTTGGGGCTTAAGGTTTTAAAGACCAGGGCTGACATACTGTTGATACTATAAGAGTCTGCATGACTTTAATGTACTAGAATACCATATTTCCCAAGCTATAAGCTACTTAGGATCATGTTGGATGTTTAGTATCCACATCCGGGGGTTAAGCTCTGGGGGGTTGAAATCTTGAGCCGGGCCAGGGTTCATGATCATGGGCTTTGAGTTTAGGGCCTTGAGGGGTTGTTTGCCGGTTCTACAGGGGTTCAAAACATCACGTGTGGCCGGGCGCGACTTGAGACTTGAGTTTTAACAAGTTTGGCATGCTCATTATTTACTGGGGACTAGTAGGGAAATATTCCCCAACCCTAAACCCTAAACCCTAAACCCCAAACCCTAACCCTAGACCCTACCTAACCCGCAGTTTAGCTCAGTGGGATTTCCATTGTCTGCTGGCCTTGCAACGTCCTTTTCCTCGGCCCCTGATCGAAGCCCAGTCTGAGGTTATGTTTCATTTTTCTGGGTTCAGGGTTTAGGGTTTAGGGATTAGGGGTAAGGGTTTAGGGATTAGGGTTAAGGGTTTAGGGATTAGGGTTTAGGGTTTAGGGATTACTTGGAGGGTCAGGGGGACTGAGTAAGTAGGTTACTAACCCGTATAGCATATATAGCAACCCTACTTATCCCTCTTCTTGACGTACTTTCTAAGCCCCCCACGCCCCTCCAAGTAGAGTTTACATGTGCATTTCAAAAAATTTGGTTCCCCCCCCCCTTTGTAATGAGCTATATGTCGCAGAATACTTTTACTGTATGACAATGTCCTTGGCCAAGCGAGGTTGCTGCCCTCCTTCAGTTTTTTTTGCGTAGTGTTTTTTGGTGGTTGAACCCCTGGTAAGATTATGTTCCTTATATAAAATAGTATACCCCAAAAGCATGATATAATCTTACTCTATACTGGGTACCATAGTATCCCCAAATAAAATACTACTCTTTTGGGGCTGAGAGTGGAGAGATCAGTGTTTGGACAAGTTTTTGGGACCAAGCTGTCCATGGACTCTAACGCTCCCAGAGGCGCCACCCTATTCTGAATAAGAGGTCTTTGCCAACCCCCACGTGTAAGAGGCTCAATGTTGCTCGGGCCAAATCAGGAACTTTGAAATTGATCTTATTGTTTTGTTCGGGCCGAAAGCTCTTGAAGCCTTGCTGACGGCCTCATTTGTTTCACGGTTTGTTGGGAGATTACATCCCCAAATCTGATACAAGCCCTAAAGAATGAGCAATTTGTTAGGCCTGTGTGGTTGAGTGTTCTCTTAAGTGGGACCCCAGTTTTCCAAGCCCCCGCAGACCTGGCCATTTCAGAATATGTTCGCAATCCCAAATCCGGGCAAGCGGGACCTTTTCCTGTATAACCCACCAATTTGAATTTGGGGTGAGGTTGGGTGAGCGCGCTTTAATTTGCCCAGCCCCACCTGTATGGCGCTGCGTTGAAAGTCCAGAGCAACTTCCCGGTCGCAGCATCCAAGGCGACCACACTTCCAGCCACATGGAAGCCAGTGCCCGGAAAGGCACCCGGGGTCACCACTACCTCAGTGAAGGTTTAGGCTTTGGTGTCACTCGGGCAGGTTTGGGACCCCTGTATGCTTTTTAAGGTTTGGCTTTACAAGGATTCTATAGAGATTCATCAACGGTACTTCAGATTAGAAATATTTCAATCCTGGCCCCTGTCGGTGGGATACATAACTACGCCATCGAATCGGATATCTGGGGTGCTTAAGCGGGTTCTGGCAAATACGACCCTGAACCCTAAACCCTAAACTCCACACATTGGGCTCTTCCACCCTCCCAGTAAACTACCCTAGACCCTAAACCCTACAGCCCACATCAACAGCATCCTTTATTGGCCTCTTCACGTCGTCGTCGTGTGTAGCGGAAACAACAACTTACCGGGGACTAGTAGGGAATACGAACATTATATAGAGATAGAGATTATATAGGGAATATATTCCCTTATTCCTTACTTACCCTAAACCCTAAGTCTACTCTCTCATTCCCTGCTAACCCCGAGTAAGAAAAGCTCCTGAAGATCTTCCAAATACGGCTAGGGAGTCGGCACCCTTGACGTGTCCTCCGGGCGTCTGCGGAAAGGAGGCCCAAACCCTATGCCGGGTTTGGGGCTTAGGCTCCCACGCGAACCAGGGATACCGGGGATGACAGAAGAATTCTGGGACCCCCCTTGTAAAAGGATTTTGGCATCCCCACCCCCTATAACAAGCACCCAATAAAAAAATCATAATGTCCTCGTTTTGGGAGTTGGGGTAGCCGTAAGGGTGACATAGGGGCCATTTTGAGAAACTCCCTCCTACCGCTGGGAAGGTGCAGCAAGGTTCCGAGAGCTTGTGCTCCCAGATGAGATCCCCTTTCTGCAGCCCGAAGGCCCGGACGACACCTTTGCATCAGGGTTTGGGGTTCAGGGCTGATTTAGGCCTTAGGGTTTCCAGACATCTGGGAGGATCTGTGAGTAGAACAGTACTATAGGATATGCAACGGTGGAGGGGGGGGCACGGAAGGTGTTCAACATCGGGAGAAGTGAGTCGTATAGCATGGAGCCCTAGACCCTAGACATGAGCTTTCACCATGGGGCTCCCCAAATGTTAGGTTGCTGAAGCTATATAGCTTTTTTGGGTCCCCCAATTGTAGGCGGCCGTACTAGAAGGAACCCAAAAAAGGACCTACCATAGGAGTGATTACTCAACTTTGGGAACCCTAAACAGTAAAGGGTTCAGGGTTGATTAGGGTTTAGGGTTGAGCAACGGTCCACCTCCTTCTCCAGGTAGTCCCCTACCCAGGGTTGCTACAGGTGTAAATGATCTTGTTCGGGCCCAGCACTGCGCCACCATCCGAAAAGGTGCCCGACATGTTTGCAATCACTGTCTTCCAGATAAGTGTTCCATTTTGTAGGCCCAAGCGAAAGACATGGCCCTCACCAGACATATAAACTACAGTGTCGTCCTCCGGAAAAAGCGGCGTGAGATTCCAAACAACGAAGTCGCTATTATACTCCCACAACTGCTCACCGGTAGCAGCGGCCATTCCAAAGATCTTCGTGTTCCCACCGGGAAGCGCCTCCTTGGATCCTTCCCATTTTGACGAGGCGAACACAAAAAAATTGTCCAAAGCAGCTGGGTGAGCTGTATCACCTCCCGCTCTCTCAGCTACGCGCTTGGACCAAATTTCTTCCCCGGAGCGGCGGTCGACGGCAAAAGCATGACCAGACGTGCTGGACCCCAGCAGAGTGTCTCCGAGAAGGAAAGGCTGGTTATCCTCTATTCCCCAATAACCAGGCCCGCCCAAAAAAGTTCAAACTGTATTATAGAGACCAAATAAGGAAGCCCAAACAGTTTAAAGTTCTTCTATTGGCCAAGTAAGTATCAGAGCGGCCAGGAGGTTCGTAGTGCCAAAGGACTTCACCAGAAGATGAGAATTTCCATAGGCCTTGCACAGTCATGAGGTGCAAGTTTTTCTCCGTGTCAATGACAGGGCCGCTGGCAACCATGTCCTTCCATTTGAAGTTTTCGTGGCCCGGAGGTACCGCGAGTCTACATAGGCTTGATGGCTTCAATGAATCTCAGAATGCTCTATACTTTTGACTCAAGTAAGCCATCTCTTTCAGGTTATTGCGATGCAGTTTCAACCATCGAAGAGGTGAAGCCTAAACCCGAAACCCTAAACTTTGTACACTTCAACCGACCAAACCATAAATAAAGGCAAACCCAGATCTCGGCTTTAGAAAGTGCAAAGTCTTCGGAATCCTGCCTGCAGCCAGTTATGAGGTTTAGGGTTTTGGGCAAGTACGCTTGGCATTGCATTGGAACCCTCAAGAACATCAAGTACAAAGGCACCGTGAACCCTGCCTTAATCCAGGAAGCCTCCGAAAGCCTAAACTTTGGGGTTCGGGGCTACACTGAAACTTCCTAAACAATCTTATGGCCGCGTTGTCATTACCATGCGTCATTAGCGACGATAGGAACGAGAAAGGCTCACCGCTCAGCCTGAGTCATTATCATGTGCACGCATAACATAAACAAACCTTGAGCCTGAACCTCTTACACCGTAAACCCCTGAACCCCTTACACCGTCCTCCCATTGCCCCTGCGGGTTGTGCCAGCTCCAGTTTGCAGGGCGCCCACCTGGAAGATCCAACACCACCTGGGTGGCAGCTTCGGTGGTTGTGCAAATCAGGTCATATGTTCATGCTGCTTTGGGACCTATAAAATCCCCTAAGAAATACAACCCACTCGGGCAGGTTTAAAAACATGGGTGCCAAGCTTCAATGGTTTAGGGCTTCGGGCTGTGGGTGTATCAGGGCTAGGGATTCAAGGCTTGGGTTTAGAGATAATGGTTTAGGGTTTAGGGTTTTAGGATGTTAGGGGGGGGCAATCGAACCCCAATATACCACACTGCCTGTTGTAGGGGCGACCAAAAAGAGGCCCCTAATCTCTGAAAAATCTGAATATCATTTAAGGTTTCCAAGGTTTTGTGTTGAAGGGTCACCAATCCCTTGAGCTCCAAATGGTAACCTGTCGAAATTGTGGCCCCTTTTTGGGTCTCCATTAGAATACGGTCCCTGCTGTAATTAGTATCCGGGATACCCCAAGAGGGACCACAACTTTTGCAACCCCTAGAGTTGCCCTAAACCCTGGGTTGAGGGTTTTGGGTTTCAGGGTTTAGGGTTTACCGTTGCTTTTCGAAAACGGCCACCTCAGTAGTACCGAACTGTCCTGGAACCTTCCCTCGCGCATGGGGCCAGGGATGCGAAGGTTCTGCACAGCCGCCACGGTCCATGTTAAGACCTCGTGGGAGGTTTAAGGTTTAGCGTTTCAGGTGCTGGGTTTAGGCTTTAGGGTTTAGGGTTGCTCCTTTTAGGAGGTCCTAAGCCCGGCGCAAAGAACCTTGATTAAAGTGGGAATTCTTAGGGACCCCTCCTTTTTGTGAAGGCCTCACCTATCTGCAGGAAGTCGCCACATGCTCCCTCCTCAAAGGCGCCAACGCACCGCAAAAAGTTCAGGAACGCCAGTCTCCAGAAGCAAGCAGCCAGGCGCGAGGAACATGGATGGGTATGTGCCAACATTGGTGTCCCCACAAGGGTTTAGGGTTCCCAGATAATCATAGCCAGACCCCTATTACGAGAGTCCACAATATGTACATCAGCAGCCTAAAAACTAAGAGAAACATTAACAGAAGACCCTTAAAGGAGAGACCCTACGAGAGAGTCCCGAGTTTGGCGCATAAACCCTAAACCCTAAACCCTTAAAAAAACGTTTCGGTCGATTGCAAGATTTCGAGCCTGATCAGGGAGGGTGAGGGCTCTTTCCGCATCAACAGCTGCTCCCAAACCCTCAACCCCAGATCCTCGACCCCAAAACTCAACCCCTAAAGCCCATGTAATCCCATTAGAGTAGTCCCCGTTTATTCCAAAACCCCCTAAACCCTAAACCCTAAACCTTCAACCCTGAGATGGGGTTATACGGACTCTATGAGGATGCATTCGCGATATGAAAGGTGTGACTCAAACGGACAAGTAAAGATCGGAAACGAAACGGAGACTAAGTTTATGTAGAAAATTATCGGGAGCTTGGAATTAAGGGTCCTATCTGTTTGGAATAGAGCTTCGGATAGGTCCATAGCTGTATAGGGGCTGCAAGGGAAGAACGTGCATATCATTCAGGCTTCGACAATGACCCCAGAACCCAAATCCTGAGCCCTAAGCCTTGATCCCTAATTAGTCCTCAAAGTCTAAAAACCGAAACAAAACAACTTCTGCAAACTCCAATCAGCTGCTCCCCTAAGCCCTAAACCCTTCAACCCTAAACCCTAAACCCTCACTTGATGGCCTCCTCTAACGCAGACAGCCGTGCTGCCATAGAAGGGTCCTGACACTGCTACTGTACAGGCCTTCTTGATTTTGCACTCATGGGTTTAGGGTTTAGGGTGTAGGGTTGGGGACACCGGGATAGTTCATGAAATGTTAATGTAACAGGTCATCTAAACTGCTGCAAGCCCTAAACCCTAAATCGTGTGGTCCAAAGGCCTTCGGGGCGCCTCGACAGACAACCAGGTGTAGCATTGCACTGTTGTGGATGGAGGACAATCTTGCACCACCTTATATACCCTGTACTATACTCCATACATCATAATATCTTTGGGGTCCTAAGTGGTGCAAGATTTCCTCGCTCCACCATGTCATGCTCCTCTGCATGGAGTACCTCCTACACCACCCTGAAGGGATCATAGGAGACCCTCTTCATGAGATTGTTGAACCCTAAACCCTACACCCTAAACCCTAAAATAGTTTCCATTTTCTTTTCCACTATCCCTACATCCGTTATAGTAGTTACACAGACCTTCTGTGTTGTTCTTTCCCCCCCGTCACAACTAAGCATGCTTAGGTCCATCATTCCATCCCCTGTCTATACTACACCTCCTAGCTTCCCCATTGTTGAACTTAAACTTGGGGGTTTAGGGTTTAGGGTTGAGTTGATAAGAAGATCGGTCTAAGCCCTAAAACTTAAACCTCAAGGCGATGCGTCCATGGACATTGCCATCCATTCACGTTCCCAGTTCGCCAAACTGCAAAGACTTGGAACGAACCCTGAGCCCTCCTAAACACACTAGACCCTAAGCCACAATCCCTAAGCCTTAAACCTTCTCTACCTATATCTGTTTAAACCTTAATAGGGCCGTGCATTTATTTTGGTCGATGTGGATTTGGGATTTAGGATTTAGGGTTTAGGATTTAGGGTTTAGGATTTAGGGTTTAGGGCTCAGGGTTTAGGATTTAGGGTTTAGGATTTAGGGTTCTGGGACCTCTTTCTGAAGGCTTCTGGCAGCCTCTGGAGGCCTCCGAAGGCCTCTGGAGGCGGATTTAGGATTCAGGGCTTAGGATTCAGGATGTAGGGTTTAGGATTTAGGGTTTAGGATTTAGGATTTAGGATTTAGGATGTAGGGTTTTGGATTTGGGACTTAGGATGTAGGGTTTAGGATTTAGGATTTAGGATTTAGGGTTTTGGATTTTGGATTTAGGATTTAGGATGTAGGGTTTAGGGTTCGCCGCCTGGAGGGTCCTGGAAGCCTCTAGCGGCTGCTGGAGGCTTCTGTGGAGGGCCTTGATAGAGCACTTTTCTGGAGGTTCTGGAAACCTCTTGGAGGCCCCAAGGCCGCTAGAGGTCCTCTTTGGGGCCTGTTGAGCGTCATTTTCCGGTGCAACAAACAAACCATCAAGCACACCCTGAACCCCCACTTGAGATATACAAAAACGGGCTTAAAGGCTGTTGGGAGGTTTCTGAAGTGACGCAGGCAGGTGGCAAGCGAAGGAAAAAAAGCGGTAAAAAATTGTAAAATGCAACGGGATTCTGGGAGAGTGGGTGATACCAAAATAATGATGAAACAAACTTTGCTATCTTCCAGCTCTAGCTAATCGTGAACTCTACACCTAAACCCTAAACCCTAAAACCTAACCTCTACATCCTAAACCCTCTTCGTTCCAGTCTGACGCGAGGGAGGCAGGCGGGGTTCGCGTTTGGGACCCTCACTTCTAACACGATTTAAGGTTCAAGGTTTTGGGTTTAGGGTGTCCTTGAACCCTCCACGAAGCCAGTATTAGGTGTTTGTTGGGGGCTGATGATATGCAACTAATATCAATAACAACAGGAATCAAATTTGTAGTAGACCTAGTACCGTAAGAATGACACTATCAGTCGCAAAACAATGACAACAACATGTGTGCTATAGTCTAAACTCCTAGCATCCCCCTTAATATGCCCTGTAGTAGTCTCCTATATTATCCCCTATATAGCCCCCTTGAAGGAGTTTAAACTATAGCACATGTCAGAATACCCTTAGACTTCGAGGCCTGGCCAGCTAGCCTTGATGTTGGAGGGTTCTTACAAAGAGCCTCAAGGAACCTCAGCACCTGCGGAGAATTCTACAAATGGACCATGTAGGATCGCCTGTAAGGATCACGTAGGGATCATCTTAGATTTTGAAAACCGTCCATTGCGGCTCAACCTGCTGCATCCTGCACTTAAATATTTGGATGTCCAGCGCAGCTCATGCAGAGAACATGGCATCGCTGAGGATGCAGCTTGCGACTGCAGTATGCTGGCAGGATGACTCGAACACACCCTAACTGAAAGGTTGGCGGAATGCGCAAAGAAAGGTTTAGGGTTTAGGGTTTAGAGTTTAAGGGTTTAGGGTGTAGGGTTTAAGGGTTTAGGGTCTAAGGGTTCATGATGCACGTGAACAGTTCTGTAGATGGGCTGCACATGATATCCGCAGAGCTATGCTGGGCCATCTGTTGGTGCCTCTGCGTGTCAGGGCTGAAGACCAGCTGAGCAGCACTTGACTTGAGCAAGTGGAAGCCGCTTAGCAGCTTGTCAGCACAAGAGCAGCTTCTTGCTCGAATTAACAGCCAGAGGGTTGCGCTGTTTGCAACAATCCGGGGATTCTGCGTCCATAAACCTCGCCGTGTGCGAGTTGCAAAAGCTAATCTACCTC